TGTTTCATTTCCTACCCTGACATTCTCCCCCCTTCTCTTCTCTCTTCCTTCTGGATTGATTCAAGTGACCATTCTCTATATCCCACAGCAACTAGTGTTTTATAGCAATAATGACACTATAAAGCATATACATATTCTCTTCTCTATAACCCCAACTACATAGTCATCTTTTAAAAGAAAGTACGTTTTCCTTATTTCTGTATCTGCTGAGGTCCAGTCGATAGTAGTTGCTCATTAAATATTTAATAGGCAAGTGGACTATAATGGGATAGGTTCTAAAGTTCAAACATAAGTTATGAAGTATAATCAAAATCATTCTTGAAAATTCCTAAGGAAAGTACTACACTGCAGACCCAACATGCTGTCTCAATATAGTTAAGCCCAGCAGTTCTTCCTTCAGCACTGAAATACTGCAGTTTCTTTAGACGAACATCTGTAGTTAAAGGCACTTAATGACAATGATTTATGAAAACTATGTATTTTTAAGCACCAGAGCTTATATCCCATGAAACTCTATGGATGCCAAGTAGAAACTGACATGGCATAAAAGAATAGCAAATTTATTTCTCACCTTACCGTGACTCTGTGAACACACTTATCAAGAAAAATGGCAGAATCACCATATCCTTCCTTCCTTCCTATCTCTATGCTGTCTCCTTTTGACCCCATTTCTTGAATTCATGTAGTTAACCGCAATTATGATGTGATCCCCATTGTACTGATATGCCTATAAGCAGCCACTGTTAATTTCTTACACCAATATCCTCTCATAATCCACTTCCATCAAGATATATTTAGTGCTTTAAGCAATACAGGCAAACACAGGGATATTAATAAGCATGGCCATGAGCACACTAAATTCCTGTGCAATCTATTAGGCTGAAATAAGTTCATATATTCACAAAAATGAGAAGGTCAGAAAAAGAATATCTCAACTGCTGTATTTATACTTCATGATAAAACATTCCAGAACACAGGCTAAAAGGATGCTATTGCTAATTAAAAATCAAGACAACAAGTATGAATTAAGTAAAAATTGGGCTACTTATAATTACTTCAATAGGCCCATTAAAGAAGCTCATCTTGAGGCACAGGTTGGATATAAAGAGATGTGAGGATGCTGCCCTTTGGGTGAGCACTGTTTACCAGAGTTACCTTTCTTTCTTTCTTTTAAAAAAATTTTATTTATTTATTTGAGAGAGAAAGTGAGTAGGGGAGGAAGCAGAGGGAGAAGGACAAGGAGACTCTGCGATGAATGCAGAGCCCAACACAGGGCTCGACCCCACGACCCTGAGATCATGACCTGAGCCAAAAATCGAGAGTTGGAGGCTTAACTGACTCAGCCACCCAGGCGCCCCCAAAGCTTCCTTTTCAACAGGCTGGTCTCTTAGATGCCACCCAGAGGTTCCTAATAGGGTAACGCCCCCCGTGCATCTGTGAGTGCTGGTATGGACTGCCTGGGTGAGTTTATAGCTTCCCTTACTTTACCTCTATTTCAACCTTACTGCCAAACATAAGTACCATGTTTAATATTTTTTCTACAGCAATGGAGTTTTCTACATTTCTAGGAAGCATCCCTGGGCAGAATAAATGTCATGGTGAACCTAAAGCAAAACCAAAATTAAGTAAGTCACAATAAAGACACATTGAACATAGATTTCCTTTGCAGAAATGATAAATTTAAGAATAGAAATAATCACACCAAGTTCCAAGAACTAGATAACTATTTGTATTTATAAAGTACATTCAAAAGTGCATCTAAAATGTATTTAAAAATATGTGATAACTTTAAAGAGAGAAAAATTGGGAAATTATATACACAAAACTTTCATTTTTACTAAAATTGCATAAGTATAATCAAAATTTCCATATATATATATACACACACAGAAATGATATAATTACTATCCATGCATGTGAAAATTATATACCATATACAGAATCAGTTCACCTGCCTCAATCCATGAAATTATTTAGTCTTTATCTATAACACATTCTCAAAACAGAAATTTTGAAAAAAGAGAGAAATAATGTAGGAGTTTCAGTGCTAAAGAAAACCATCTGGCTAGTCCAAAAATCTGTTTTTGTGTGTAAAATTGTTTCAACAATCATCAATTAATTAATCTCATAAGTACTCTAGGTTTAGAATGACAGTGTGGGTGCAGCACCCCCCCCCCCGCCCCCGCGAGCCTCCAAAGCTTCCCTCACCACACCGCATAGAACCCTCTTCCCTCCCACGGAGTCCTGTGGTTCTTCATCTGTAGTTCCGAAAAAAGCGATAATTATCACTTTACACCTAGTGTGGGTATTGTACCTTATCTTCCCCACTTGACTGTAAACTCTTTGAGGGTAAGATCTATGTTTGGTTCAGATTTTATGTCCCACAATACCTACCAGGGTGCCTTGCACAAAGTCTCAAAAAATACATATTTTATAACTACACTCAAAGATACTCCCTTCTTGAAAAAAGATTTTCAAGTTTTGTCCCCAAAATAAACTATGTAGTACATTACTTTCTATTTTTCTTCCTACTTCTCAGCAGTTTCCAGTTTAAAAATCCCTGTTGATCTGTGCTCCTGGAGAGAGTTTATTCATCCATTCACTTAACTTATTCATTCAAACCACCCAATAAATATTTGTCAAGTTCCTACTTTGCCAGGTAGTGTGTAAGGTGCTGGGAGGGGGGCGGTTACACCAGCAAAAAAGCACTTAGGGAGCTAGAGTCTAGTAGGAAAGACATACAAATCAACAGGTAATTATAAAACGACATGAGAATTATTATAACAGATGTAAAGACATGATACTCTGTAAGAGTATTTCTCTAATTTAAGAGTGCTTTCCAAGTTTTTGTTTGTAATTTATCATTTTCCCGATATTATGGTCTTCCCTGGTCATCTATCTATCTGTCTGTCCACCTAACTTCCCTCCTTCATTTTTTAAATACATAATATCTATCCGTGGTAAAAATACAAAAACTGCTTAAGAATACATAATCGAGAAAGAAGCCTTCCTCCTACCTTGTCCCCAGCCACTCGGTTTATCTTCCCAAAGGTAGGCACCAATGCCCAATGCGTAAGCACAGGAATGGTCAACGCACATACAGAGCCACGTATCACGAGCACGTGGTCCTACTTTCTTTTAACCATGACAATGGTAGCATGCTTTAGACTCTCCACCTTGTTTCTTTCACTTCATAGTATCTTAGAAATTGCTCTCTGCCTTCATTCTTTTCAATGGATATAAAGTATACCACTGCATGGATACAGCACGGTTTATTTAAGCAGAGTCTCCTTAGCAAGCGCTCATCTAAGGTTCAAAAATTCTGCCATGAATAAATTTACCCACATGTCATTCTGTGGTGGGTCTGTGAGTATGTCTGCATGGTAATTCCTGGAAGTGAAATTGCTGGCTCCGAGAATATGAGCACTTTTTACTCTGATAGATACTAACACAGAGGATTCGCCAGTTTAATTTCCCACAAAAAAGGAAATCCCCACCTTCATAATGTAAATTATAACCTTTACAGAAATGGCTCCCAAATCTATACCCACAGTTCTGACCCCTGACTTATTTTCTGTGATATCTCTGTGATATGTCCACAATCTTTCCACATACCCATTTCCTTGGATCCTTAGGAAAACGCTTTTTGAAACCAAATTTATAGTCTTACCCTCGACACATTCTTTGTAAATTCACTCTATTAGTTCTCCCTGATTCCAAACCAAAGCCACTTTTGATCCCTCTCTCTTTCAACCCACACCCAATTCACTGGTCATTAAGGTGGACTGGTCCTGTGCAATTCCACAAAGTTCATCATCTTTGTATTTCCTCAGACAACCTCTGACTGCAATGCCTGTGCTGTTCTCATCCAACTACTCAGGTTCTTTTTGCCCTGTGCTCACCCCGGTGATTCTGTTCACATGATCCCCTCTGCCTGAAGAATCTTCTCAAGTCAGTCCCCTGCTGAAATCTCAGTAAGCACTGAAGGACTACCCTTAATGCCAAATCACCCAAAAAGCATTTTCCATTTTTTTAATCTTTTTTTCATAAAGAATTTTCTAATGGGAATTTATGAACATTTAGGTCCTTCACTACACATTCTAATTTATAATACACTTACAAGGTAAATTACAAATGTCATAGAAAGATGATGTCTTAGCACATTCTGGTAAACCCACACTGCCTTGGCATTTAAAATGTGATTACCAAATGAATGGATGAATGTTTGCAATTCCTACAAGTCAGATAATTCTATAGGAGAAAACATTCTATAGAGGATATTTAATCCATTTATTTTGAAAAACAAAACTACTTTAAGGTCTGTGAGATACAATCCTCTATTTAATAATTAAATTTATTTCAGAAAACCCACAATATAAAATATTTCCGGTTAACTATTCTAGTAAATTAAAAATTTCCCTCATGTTGATTTTGATCCAAAACAGGGAGGACAAAGGGCCGGGGAACAAAGGAATAGGTGAGATGTACCACTACGCTGATTGCATTTCTCTTCAAAACTACAAGATCCTTTCAAAATCTCTCACGTATAGTCGAGGTGACTCTAACTACTGTGTAAAAGAAAAGGGAACTCAGCACGATGTGCCTACAGACTATGGCTCATGTGAGTTTAAAATGGGCTAAATAATTTTTTACATTTCACAAACACGTGAAAAGAACTTTGCAAAGCATCATAAATCCTGTATTTCCGGCTTTCAAAATTAAACCACATGATTTCCAAAAGCATATTTGTGCTAAGATATTTTACATTTAAAAAATATAGGGAGAAAAAGAATATGATTATGCTTTCCAATATGTAAAAGCAGTCATAAAAAAAACAAGCGACTATTACGTTTCATTAGAAATGATTCAGCTCCCATCTACCCAAATCCTTGCCAGGAAGCAGACAACTGTTACATTATAACTTATATTTTCAGTAATTACGAAAAAGGATGACAGTACTACCATGCATATTCAAGTGCTGGATTAACTTCTTGACTCACCTCTCCCCCATTTACATATTCCATCACAAAACACAAACGGTCTTTTGTCTGGAAGGAATATTTCAAGGACTTGAAATGAAAAAGAAAAAATGTTACATTATAATCCAGTATTCTTATAAGGATACCAAAATAGAATACTTAGAAACAGTAAGCTTGAGGGATGAAATGAATCATTCTTGTCCTAAAGAGTCTACTTACTCCTTAAGAGTGTTGAAGAGTTTTGAAGAACATAAAACAAATTTTGTTTAGATCAGCATTGGCTACTGTTAGGGGAAAGGTTAAAATTAAAATTTTAAGTAAAAATACACTTAGTAATTGTGATGGGCACCTCTCAATCTATCATGCTGTCTATCTGAAACTGTATTAGTCCCCAAAGTTCCCATCCGCACGACCTTCAAGTGAGGAAGTCTCAGGAATACAGCTAGAGCAGTTATGTTCGGGCTTCTAATATAGTTTCAACACTGCTTTTTGCATACTGGGTGGGTGTATAACATGACTGAATTCAACAGAGTTGGTTCATATAACTGTATAAGTTACAATGATATCAGAACTTTAGAGCTATCTTATTACACTGGACAATATACACACAGCAACGTAACAAAGTAAGTCTAGGTATCTGATTATACCTCTGAAAACATTCCTACTTTACATAATTCTAAATCTTTGAAAGGTTCCCCCTTTGGAAAGTCTACCGGTTGTTTTTTCTCTTTCTTTTCTACCTGTTATTTTTAATCTTAATACGCTGAGAACCAGGAGCAAATTGTCTCTATTATAAGCAATCTAAGTATAAGACTATAAAAAAAATCAATTTCTTTCAAAACAAGTAATACGCATGCAAGTCAAGAAAACACATCATGACTTAGCCTACCTTTAATTTAATGTATTCAGTACTCCTGGGTTTCTTAAAGTACTCTATACCTATGGGTGGTCTCAATTTCTATAAAAAATATTCAGTAAAGATTTTTTGCCTTTCATATCTGGAGACAATGCTGCTTGATCATTTAAATATTTATCAGAAGCCAATAAACAAAGGAAACACAAAACCCTCACATTTAATACTAAGAATTTCTTGTAAGTCTACCATTTTCTCAGTGGTCTCCGTATATTTGCTCTACGGTTTTTTGTTTTTGTTTTGGAAGGCAGTGAAATCCGTGAAGGAAAAAAAAGTCTCAAAAAAGGAATGGCTGTATAAGAGGAGGGAAGACAAATGCATGCATATTGTAAACTTAGGCCCTATGTTGCAATAAGGTCAAAGGAATAAGACTTACAGTCTTTCCACAAAGAAAATGGCATACCTAAGTAAGTGTTACTTTTCATGGCTTAGTTGTTGCAATAAAACTCCCTTAAATTTAAAATGTTATGATTATCACATCTGCCCTTGAGTCACTTACTGTTAAAAAGGGGTGTCTGGTGTTCTTTAATACTCTGCTCTCAGTCAGAGTATGCGCCACTTCATCCTACAAAAGAAAAAGGGAAACCTTTAATATATGTACTAAGTAGTAGTAAAATCAAATTTTCACTCTTTCTCTAAGACCAGAAGAGGTTCTGTCTCCGGAGACAGAAAAAGATGTGAAGAGATGAGGACATGTTTCCTTTATTGCTATGCTTTTCCTCCACATCCCCTCCAAAAAAAAGATCAAATTAATGATTTAAATCAGATGGCTGTAAGGTATAATAAACTCATATACACTCAGTCGTACTCAATCAGATTATATTGATAATGATACAAAAATCACCAAAAAGTTATCAGGGACACAGATGATTAAATAGTTAACCCTTCTCCTTGAAGGCAATGCCTTAGCGCCTAATATTTAGGCATGGAGTACTTAATATTTCAATGTTTGTAGTATATTGTATTCAGGAGGATATAAAGGATATATTTCAGTCAAGATCATAGAATTTGTAAGTCTCCTACTTAAGAGAAAAATCAGTTCCTGAAAATAGGAACATAAAATATACAGATAAGATTTAATTGTCAACTATACATTTTAGAAATAGAGACACAGAATATAAAAATTGTATTTTTCTGCTTGTGGCTTTTTAACGTGCTTCTTAAAAAAAAAAAAAAAGTCACAACCTACTTTAGGTGACAACTTAAAAAATCTGGGTGTATTTCAAACCAAAAGTAAGTGTATTTCCCCAATCTTGTACATAAATCTCATCTTGACATCAAAAATGAACTAGGAGAGATTTTCTTCAACATATGGAGAACTGGAAAAATGTTTCATATTTCAAAAATAACACCATCTTCAAGAAGAAAGGAAAGAAAGACATTGCTGAAACTAACACAGCATCTCCGGTCTTTGCCTCTATCAAGATCCTAAACAAAGCTCTTGCTGGATTAATGTCTCCACACTGTCAGCAAATCACAATTAGATTGTTAAGTAAGATGTGGAGAGCAAAACACTGGGTCACTGCATTATATTTATCATCTGACCTCAGTCAGACCTAGAAGATAAATGAGAAATAGACTGATCAAAGATGCTAAGGCCTGGAAGCCATTCCAAGAGGGCAGGGCCAGCCATGTTTGAACAAGGCAACTGTAATTAACAACACAGTGTTTAAAACTGGGAGTGAAACAAAGCGTGAGTATGAAACCACTCCTGAATTATCTGTTTAATAAGAATCAGGCTTAAGTGCTCAAACAGTTCGAAAGCCTCTGTCACATCATACTATAGTTTCTAAATGAATTAGAATAATAGCATCTTAATGCCAACTAAATCACAAGCAGAAATGATAGCATAACTTACTGATTTCTGCACCCACAGTGCCTAGCATAATGATTAGCACCCAGTAGAGACTTAATAAATGTTTGTTGAACTGAACTGTTTATCATAGGAATAAATTCCAGATGTCAGGGGTGTGGGGCTTCATTAATTCACTCAACCCTCCCATAAATATGCACCAAATCTACTCTGGCCTTGCTCTACACACTGCAGACATGGACTCGAACAACAGACACACGGATCCCTGCCCTCAGGGAACTTTCCATCTCCCTACACAGATGGCGATCAATGTTAATGGGGAAAAAAGGCAGAGATCTACTGCAGTTTAGGAGCATTCATGTGATGCACATGAAACACATCAGGAAGCATCGTGCAGGCGGCTACTCTGTGACAAACACAACCAAATCCAATCATTAAAAACCAAAACCCTTGATGTGCCCTCAACTAAATGCTAATGACAGTGCAGGTATAAAGTGGTTTAAAAAAAAAAAGACATGATCCCTCTGCTCATGTAGTCACAGGCCAGTGGAGAAGACGTAACAGATGGGTAAATATCCAACTTAATAAATAATTACTAACGCTGATGAGTGACATGAAGAAAAAATGGGGGTATCTACTATCCTAAATGGGGTAATGAAGAAAAACTAACATTATTTGAAGAGTGTAAGGTCGGTAATGTGATGATGGGGGAGGCAGGGGGTGACATAGTCTGATTTCTAGTTTTAAAGGTTTACTCAGGCTCCTCTGAGTAGAAGGACAGCAAAAATAGCAAAGATGAAGCGGGGGGGGCAACAAGGAAACCGACAGAGAAATGAGGATGGCCCAGACCACTGTGGGAGCAGTGCAAGCAGGACAAAAGGGGGCCATTCTGAAATCTTTTTGAGATATAAAATTAACAGTCATAATTCAAAGTAACCCGCCTCAGCATGAGGGTGTCTCAAAAGAAACATCTCTTTACAGGCAGTCAGAAGGAGATTCACAGAAGAGATGCCATTTTTGCAGGTTATGCTTGAGGACGCTAAGGGGCTGGAGGTAGCCAGCCAGGTATGAAACCCATTTGACATCAGAAAAGATACTCTAGGGCTTCAGAAAATATTTCCAGAGGGTAGTTGATGCTGCTTTTTATTTATTTATTTTTATTTTTAAAGATTTATTTACTTATTTATTTGAGTCAGAGAGAGAGTATGAGCAGGGGGAGGGGCAGAAGGAGAGGGAGACAAGCAGACTCCCCACCGAGCGCGGAGCCCAACACGGGGCTGATCCCGCAACCCTGAGATCATGATCTAAGCCAAAAGCAAGAGTCCAGCGCTCAACCAACTAAGCCACCCAGGCGTCCCCATTCTACTTTTTAAAACAGGCCCACCACATAAAATAGTTATTTTCCTAAATCACTTTGTAAGTTTCAGGAGTGAAGATTAGTTTTTTTCCTAAGTTCTGCAATCTGCCTAACCACAGGGAAGGAGCCAAGGCAAGATGTATGGAAACAAATGTTAAAACAGTATTTCTTTATCATAAGAATGCAAGCGGAATTAATACCGTGTACATATCTTTCAAATATTAAAATGTATTTTCTACCATATTTTGCATATGATCAGATTAGAATTCTTCCCCCTTAATGCAGATTTAATGGTACTGTACTTCACATACTAATTAGTTTCTGCTATGAAGATAAGGTATGCACAAGCTAAAAAGTAAACACAGATGCCAATAATTTTTAATTACAGTTAAAAGCAACATGTCAAAACAAAAAGTTAAAAATAACAGTGATAAAACTCAGTGGCTAAAACAATGTGATGCCTTTTAAAAAATCCACTCGTTGATCAGGACTTTAAATGAAGAGAGCTAAAAATGCTTGGGTGTGCAATAGAAGTATAACGATTTCATGAAAAAGCTTCTGAAATTCAGTTTCATGTATATTCATCCACAGCAAAATACTAACTAATGAATTTTTAAATCCAATTTCTCTCATAGGAATGGGATTTTATTTCTTGAGGACATGAGGCAAAGAAGAGTCCTCCTCACATTTATTTTCCCCATCGTCTCCAATTTATCACTCCCTTCTACTACACGTGGTCTACAATTCTGCTTTCATTTGTCACCCCCCCTTCCTGTAGTGTTGAGTGATCGTTGGGTATTTCGTGGGGGGTGAGGAGTAGGATATGGCAAGGAAGTAGAGGAAGAGATCTCTAACCCACTGTCAAGGACAACAAGGGTTTCATGTCCTTTAAGCCCTATAGCAACTCAACAAGGTAGGCTTTATTATTCCCATTTTGCATCAAGAAACGGAGGCTCCCAGAAGTTAACCTGCTCAAGCTGCAGGTCAAACAGTACTGAACCCACGTTAGGGTAACTTCCACTCCACACCACTCCCTCTCATTCAAACACTCAGCTTCTCCCTAACTGGGCACTTTCCACTCTGTTCACAGTATTTTCTTGGTCTTGAATGCAAGACCCTACTGACCCTCTCTATCAGAAGTCCGTTGAAATCACGACAGAGCACACTGGAAGCACTTCCTTCCTCCGACAGAAGAAAAACAAAGACCCAGAGGAGGAGAGGGAGCGGGCAGGAAAGAGCAAGAACAGGGCAGAGAGGTCTGTGACGTGGCTCCCTTACTCTCAATTAAACCACAAGCACTCCCAGTGATCCTTACGTTCTTCTGTCTTGACCCCACACGTTAGCAATCTATACATTTATCCCCCCATAGGAAAGATGTCACACTTCTCATGCTCTAAATCTAGGCTCCTAACTTCCCCTCTTTTAAAAACGTGGGCCTGCCCCACTCCCTTCGTGCCCCCCTCTCCTGCTCCCCCCCCCGCCACCGCTCTCTCCCCCACTTCCCCGCTCCCCCACTCTCCGGGAGCTGCCAGCCTGTCTTCAAGCTGGGCCCTGACTGCTATTTCTCTTCTCTTTACCATTTTTTTACCTTGATGCAGAAAAAGAAAGCACAGTTGTTTTCTATTACCTATGAACACTGCGTCACCTTTCTCAAGCGCTGTCATTTGATACTTTGTTCTTGATCCTCCCCTTCCAAATATTGCTTGACTTTGATCACGATGCAATCACTTTGGAACCTAGTCTTTCTTAAATTGTAGAGTATGTTGTTTGTTCATCCTGCCCTTCACTGCACTGCCTTCTTTCCTTCTGCCCCTTCTAATTCCCAACATTGGAATAAATCAGTCTCTATTTTCTCACCTTCCTATCCCACATCTGAAGGGCAAAGAAATCACTTAAACATACTGATTAGAATGATTACAGTTCCCTCTCCAATCTCAGCTGAATCTTCTGAGGATTCTTTCACCCCTCTCCTGAGGTTACTCTTCCAGTCCTCATTAGGGTTGTCCTAGAACTTTCCCAGGCCTCCTACCATGCCTGGTAGGTGTGCTACCTTACACCTGTCAAGCTACTGAGCTGGGACCGGGGCCCAGGTCTGTCTCTTTCAAGTCCAGGAGCTCTTCATTAAGTTCCTCTCTTTTTATCTCAACTTTGCTCCCTCATCCTTTCAAAATGTGATCTATGTCATTCGCAGAAGTCATGAATGACATTTGACACGTTTGATGACACTCTCTCCTGAAGACTTCTCTTGGTTTCTAGATCAGAATCTACTTCCTACTTCCCTCCTCATCAGTAGTTCCATTTTCTCAATTTGCTGCTGGTTTCTTATCTCTGAACCCTTATTTTAGGAGTGCCCCCAGGACTCAGTCCTCAGACCTCTTGTCTTCACTATGGCTCC